CATTTGAAGAACGCTTGAAGGCGTGGAGGCATCTTTTGAATATTTTGCAGGTACTTTGGAGCTTTGCAGAATTGATTGTCTCGGAGATCTTGAAGCCTTTTGAATGCATTTGAGGACCTTCAGGCGGCTTGAGTCCATTGCATGTGTTTTTGAAATTTTGCAGGATTGATTACTTCTAAATTCTTGACGCTCGTTGTTGGAAGTCACGCCAATTAAATTCCGGAAGCCACGCCAATTAAATCCCGGAGGCTACGCTATTTGAATCCCGGAGGCACTTCAATAGATAACGTCAGTGAAGAATCAGAGGACTAGACAGAGATTTTGTACCTGCATTGAATTATACACACGCTGTACACGGAATTTTGTGAATATATACAAAGTTTGCTTTTTTGTGTTTACAGATTTTGGCACGCCCAGTGGGACAGCTCTGCCTCTCATCTCTTCATAGGCACTTTCAACCGGTATGGGAGCAAACCCCATATGAAATTTGAAATGGAGGAGGCTAAATGATACTCCTTGGCACGAGTTAAAACGGCCTCATATCTTTCAAGGCTCATTGGCACGAGTTGAAACGGCCTTATATCTTTAAGTTGTAGTGTCGAGACTTTCTTGCACTACATACTTTCAAGTTTTATATGCTCTCAAGTGGTGTACAAGCAAGTCTCGAGGGGGCATTTGTAGACACTTAAATTTTTGATAAATATTGATTATTTATCAATATTAGTATATTTGAATATTTTGAAATATTTTGGATAATATTGATATTATCTAATTTGTTAATTAGATAATATCAAAAGAGTTTGAGCTTATCAAAACTCTCTATCCTACAACTATAAATAGTGCATTTCATTTCTATGTAATGACACAAATCCTAGGAAGAATCATGTAAACATCTAGAAATATATATATTATTTAGAGATCACAATGAAAATGTGATCCTGAAAGTAAAAGCCCCTCCTCCTCTATATGTTGATGCATGTTGATCCAAACCTTTATTGAAGATCAAGCCATTTGAACCCGGAGGCCCTTCAAGAAGAACAAGCTATATATACAAGCCCTTCTTTGAAGATCAAGCCACTTGAAACCCGGAGGCCCTTCAATGGTGGAGTGTTCAAGGCATCCAATTGAAGAATCAGAGGACATCCCAGAGACTTGTACTCACACCTCATTGATACTTAATATGTAACCGGAACTTTGAATTACTAAATATATATTCAATTTTCTTTGTTTACAGGGAGTCTAGCATTATGTGATAAGATGTTTTTAAGTTGTCCAAAAAGTCATGAATGGAAGAGAGCGGAATTGATTCGAGATTTCTTGGCTCCATTTGATGTCATTACTAGATTATTTTCTGGATCATCTTATCCTACTTCGAATTTGTATTTTATACAAATTTGGACGATAGAGCGTTTGTTGAGAGATAATGAAAATAGTGATGATGTGATCATTCGAGATATGGCAACAAAAATGAAAGGGAAATTTAACGAGTATTGGAGTGAGTACAATGTTATTCTTGCAGTTGCTTCTGTTCTTGATCCAAGGATGAAATTTGATATGATTAAGTTTTGCTACTCAAAGTTTGATTCTGTGGATTGGAAAAGCAAGTTGGATTTAATAAAGAAACAAATGTATGAGCTTTTTTCTAACTATGAAACAGCTTCAAGTATATCAATGCATGCATCTTCTTCACATGGTCAAGCAAGTGGCTCACAATCACCACAAATAAATTATTTTGGTGTAAGCATTTTGAATTAATAAATTTAATTTAAATTTTATTGCATATGCTTTTGAGTTTTAATCGCAATTTTTGTGCAATTGTGCAGGAGTATTTGTATTGTTCAAATGAAAATGATGATAATATTCGAAAGTCTGAGTTGGATATATATCTAGAAGAGGAAAAGTTAAATCTTAAGTATTATATGAACATGGATGTTTTACAATATTGGAAAGAGCAACAAGTAAGATTTCCATGTTTGTCCAAAATGGCTTGTGATGTATTGAGTATTCCGATCACTACAGTTGCTAGTGAAAGTTCATTTAGTCTTGGCTCTCGAGTTTTGACTAAGTATAGATGTTCCCGCCTCTCGGAAAATGTTCAAGTACTCATTTGTACTCGCAATTGGTTTCAAGGATTTGCATATGAAGGTATTAGTGTATTATTATTAGTTTTTAGTCCTTATTTAATAGATATTGTGATTAATTATAAATTTATAATGATTTATTTTATAAATTGTATGTAGATGATGAAGATATTGATAATAATGGCTCCAGTGATAAGGCTTCTAATGTTGTTGATGAATGATTGTGGGTCTTTCAAGTTTTAATCAAAGGAATCAAAGGTACTTTAGATGATTAATGATTTATTAAATTTGATTTTTTTTAGGCTAAAGTGTCATCCCACACTATGAATCATTCCTGATTATTCATGTTGCACCATGATCTTTAATAAGTGATATTTAGAGGCATAAACCATAATTATTTTTTTTTTGTCTAGAACTTTTTACAGGTTTCCTACAGGTTACCGATAATAATATTGCTGACATAGTTCAATATTATAGGTTTCTTACAGGTTTCGTCTAGAACTTTTTATTAGCTTTTTTTGGTATTTTTCTTCTTTCGCTTATTATAATTTTTTTACATATTGCTGACATGAAATTTTTTATTAGTTTTTTTGGTATTTTTCTTCTTTCGCTTTCTTATTACAATTTTTTTTCCTTTTTTTTCTTTTTTTTTTCTTTTTTTTTTCCTAAACGTATAGACCTGCTCTGCTTTTTTCGCTTGTTTCTCCGATCAGGCCTGCTCTGTATAGGTCTGAATTTTGTGTACCATGGTCCACACAATAATGATTATACCATATTGGATCAGAGTTTACTTTGTATTGTGACACTGGTTCAAAAATTATGTATATACAATTAACATATTGTGTATCTATAAATAAATTAAAAGTACATAATATATTAATTACAGTTTACAACATATTTGTATTATGTGTTTGTAATTTAAAGAAAATCAACTGTATAATTTCCACTCAAACGAGTGAATGACTTTCGCAGTTGGCACACATTTTTCTTTGAGTTTTAGTGTATGTATTTTCAAATTTTACTCATTCATTTTTACTTTATGATATATGATAAATAATTACGGAGTATATGATATTTTCATTATGTTGGTCGAGGAAAAGTATCTACATCGAATTTGTGAAATGAAATAAGAGTTGGGAGTAAGAAGTAAAAGTCCATGTAATATTTTTCTTTTTCTTTTGAATACTTTGAAATTAGTGGAGTTAGTAATTCAAATATTCAATATAACACTTAATTGTACAAATAGTCTGCTAACTTTTTACCATACTGCAGTGTGTAATTTTAAAAACTCTATTTGTCTCCACAATCAATTGTAGTGTTATCAAAACGAGTTGAAAATAAACCTAACCTGTTAAGTTAGCCTAGCGGGTTAAAGGGGTCACACTGCGGGTTGAAAATAAACCTAACCTGTTAGCAAGTTAGTCTACAAATAGTCTACTAACTAACATTTAATTGTACAAATAGTCTACTAACTTTTCTTTTGAATACTTTGAAATGGTGTTTCTTCATCCATTGCTTAAACAAGTAAACTTGATTAAACAATACATAAAGTGTCAATAAAAAGGGTTGAAGCAACAAGATGAAAGGGGGGAAAATAGGTTAGTAATTCAGTTAATGCTACTAGATATATCAAGTCATCAACTATAAATGAAACTCAAAAATAGTTGTAAGATGAAGTAAATAAAATAACAAAATAAAATAAATAAACATTTAACAAATTAAAAAAAAAAAAAAAAAAAAAAAAGAAACATATAGAAAATACACGAGTCCAACATCCTTTATCTCAGCTTTAGTTCGCTTGTAATGGTTTCATATTGCAAAAATTTGCATGATAGGTGGAGTAATAAATATTTTAAAGGGGAAAAAAATGCATGTCACTTTGCAAGCAATGTTGTAAAAGTTAGCCTAGGCGTTGATTAGGTCGAGTCGATTTTAATTCTGGGTGACTTTTAGTTGATTGACAGACTAGGTGCCTTAAGTGTCGAGTTGGGCTCCTAACTAGACCAAATTGAGTGCCTAACTCAGCTGAATGGTTTTTTTGTCTTCTCGGCTACTTTCTTCTATATTTCTCTAGCCATGTATCAACTAACCATCTAACAAATACAGTTGACTAGTTTGGAGGATTATAACAATCTAACAATTCCTGAGTGGAAAAAGTTGAGACGATATACTTGGATTACTCAACCGCCTATGCGTCACCTAAGCACTCTAGGCACTAGGCTAACTAAGGCCATCTCCAACCTGTGCCAAATCACCAAATTTGGAGAAAAAAATGGCATAAAATTGCTCCAATCAAGTCGCCAAATCACTAAATTTTTGGCGTTGGATGAATAGTGCAGCGCCAAATTTGACGTTGCACTATTCATCCTGCGACATTTTTTGTGTACTTTTGTATTCCCCATTTGCCATTGCTTTTTTTTTTTTTTAAATTCCTTTTTGTTTTTTTTTAATATTTACATATTTTGTTAAATATTTAAACATAAATTGTATATTATTAAAAAAACTATATCATTTGAAAGATCTCATAAAGACGATTAAAACAAGACTAATATTAAATATAATTTAATAAAAAATTAAATTACATAAAACATAATTAAAATTTAATTTATTAAATTACAACTATATGTTATATTAAAATAATAAAAGTATAAATATAAACTTTTAATTTATGAGAATATATATTATTTTAGTGGGAATAAAATTTGATGTAAATGGGTTGGAGATGAAAAAAGAAAATTGGTGTAAGAATTTGCTGAGAATATTCTTTTTGGTGTAAAATTTGGTGTTTTAGGTTGGGGATGGTATAATATTACATGTATTTTGGTGAATAAAACTGTTATATAATATTGTGCATTGAAATAATTAGTCCACTGTTTAATCAAAATATCTTTCCATAACTATACGTTAGATGAATTTTAGACCAATTATTTATATCGTCGGAGAATGGAAGCATCTCTTCCAACTCTTTCTCCATCACTCCCGCCTTTTCCTCGCAGACTTCACTCCCACTCTCCGCTCATCACCAGTTTTCCCGCGATATTTACCGGCTCTTTGCGGCAACTGCCGCGGCTCCGGAAAATTGCTCCTCCACATTTGACGGCGACGGTGATGGCGTCGGCGACGGCGACGGCGTCATGCTCTTCTCAAGCTCCGCTGCTTTCGGCACGGACAGTCAGCATATCTTACTCCGAACTCAAGGTGGACTCCCTCTTTGGTTTGGTTACTGCTTCCGGTGTTGAGTTTTTCATTAATTCATTTCCATTTCCAAAATATGAAAGAAATAATAAATTGTGCTTTTTGATTTGTAAGTTGTAACTCTATCGCCTTCTATACATTGAGGAATTTCATGCTTCTGTTCTGGACTTACACGCGCTACCATTGTGGTATGTGTTTTGTGTCTCATAAAATTAAGTTAAACAGGATAAGAATGCCGACTTATCGTCGAAAATTGAACAAGGCTTTGGGGCGAATGGTCTTGGACTTCTTTCTATATCGGATGTAAGGACTAAGGAGTGATCTTTGCATTACTTTAAAAAAAAAATTATATACCTACGGGATTTAAATTGCAGTTGGTAGATTTTGGCATATGTTCATGTATGGTCTGTTTTTGCTTTGCTATAGGTTCCTGAGTATACTTTGTTGCGTGAGAATCTTCTCCGTCTTTCATCAAGGTAAGAACAGTTTCGATATGTTGATTTGGCCATAAATTATACTATGTTTAAAGATATGATTTGACTTTTTAAAAATATTGCTTATCAGATTAGCTAATGTTTCTGAAGATGTGAAAAGGGAGCTGGAAGATCCAGATAGTCGGTAATAGAACTTATCCCTGGATTAATGTTGAGATCACATCTTTTGCTAGTAATCATTATAGGAGTCACGAAAATGCTGTTATTGTCTAGTGCTTTATGAAATTTTGTTGTGTGGCCAAAAAAATTGTTGGCACGTGATCCATATTGAACTCCCTCCCCTGAAGTTCATGCTTCTGACAGCTATCCACCATAGTTTATCTCTGATTTGTAATGGCCTAGTTACAATTTCCAGGTACAGCTTTGGATGGAGTTATGGAAAACAGATGCGAGATGGAAAGCTTGGTAAAAATGGACAATCAATTAAATTTTTACATTCAATATTCAAAGTGTGTTGTCCTTGCTTGGTGTAATGTAAATGATTTATATAGTGTCTTTTCTGCTTCCCATTTCATGTCTCAGTCTTATATAACCTGTTCGCTAATCGCTACTACATGGTTATTGGTTATGCAGATAAACTTAAAGCATCCTTCTATGCAAATCCAATATTGGATGTTCCTACAACTGAACCATCCCTTTTACAACAGTACGGTTAAGATTTCTCCATCGTGTGGTATATTTTTCACAGTGCTGTATTTTGTTTAGCTAAACACTATCTTCTTTTCCTTTGTAGATACCCTTCATTTTGTAGAGCAAATATATGGCCTTGTACAGCTCTGCCAGAACTTGAAATAGGTATATTTCATACATATGCTAACGCTGAAGTAAATAATGGGGGGCATTTGGTTCTGTGGACAAGGCTCCCACATTATGCCATGTTTAGGAAAGTAACATATAGTTCAACTTTACCTTTGTTTAAAAGAGAAGGTTGCTTTCAGGGCTTGAACGTGTGACCTAACAATGAATGGTTGAGTTCTTTGACATTGCACCAAAAAGCTAACTTCTTCAGTAATTTGCTATTATTTATTTAAATTCTGTTCATGTACCCTTTGCACCATTCTATATGTGTCTAATTCCTCCATAATTTATCTTGCTTCTACATGTTTGGTTTTAAAATGCAGCCTTCAAAGCACTTGGAAAGCTGATCTTGAATGTTGGGCTGTTGTTGGCTTATCATTGTGATCGATACGGTGAGAGTTCATGATGCTTGGTTTCTTTTTCTTAGTAATTGAGCTTTACTACTAAAGAAGAAAACACAAAGCAAGGACCATAACACTTGATGCTTGAATTATTTTAGCCATTTGCCTTGATTGTATCTGTGCACCTATGACTATCTTTCATTACTATGAAAATATTGCAGCTTTAATTACAATCATGGCAGTGTCAACACCAGCATGTTGCATATTTAGCAAACATAGCTGTGGCAAATTCATATAAATGTCCATTTGTCATTGCTTATTAATTATGTACTTCATATTACCTTCATGTTTTTTTTTTTTTTAAATTTATCTGATTTATCCATGTTTAATTTCCACAAAAATAGAGAACAACTACTCCATATATATAAAGTTCTAAGTTCCAATTGACCTATTGAAAGTGCAAATTTTTGCAGTATCCAGCAGGATTGCAACAAATGAGAATAAAGACATTCTGCAGACACTTCTTCCCTCTAGAGGTCATAAAGGTCGACTTCTTCACTATTTCCCTACCCAGAATAGGTAATGCGATATTTTCATTTATCATCTCTTCTAACCAGTTAAACAGTGTTACCTTCTGTATTAGATGCTTCAATCTTTTTCAAGATCATTTGGGTGTTTCTGTTGATTCTGTGGGACTAGTAATTGTCAAGCCTAGGTAGAAGCCCAAAGGCACAAATTGAAGAATAGGCCAAGTTACCATTTGGGATCTCCTATTAGCCCACAATGGTTAATGCAAGTTGATCTGAAGCATCTACTGAATTCGAATTTTTCTATATTCCATAAAACTACTCTACACCCAAAGTGTAAGACTCTGTAAAACTGTTTGCAACTAATCCTGTTGGGAATTGGAAAATTGTTGACAAAGAGATCTTTAAATTTTTATTTTTTTTTTTAATTTCTGAAAATTTTGAAACCACAATACTTAATTTTAGAATCACTTTGATCAATTAGCTGGTTATAATTTTTCTTGCAGTTGCTCTTCTCAAGATGATGGATCTATTCCATCTTGGGCTGGCTGGCATACTGATTGTGCTTCCTTCACAGGTAATGCTTCTCTAAAATCCCTCTTATAATTAAATATAAAAATGAACTCACCAGCTATATACACTCATTGGTGTTACTCTCCCATCTTTTGTTTGTTTATTTGCAAAATTCAAGTGACATAAAAGACACACCTGCTTGAAGGATTCTAATAAATTAGAATTATTATTATCTCATATTGAAGAAAGCTAGATATGGAACAATTAGTATAATTGCATATTAGCTTGAAATAAGAGAAGAAATCAATGAGAAATAGGTGCAACTGTACCTTGTACATACAAGTATATGACTCTGAAGAATGATTTTCCCCTCTTAGCATGTTATGCATGCATAGTTGTTGAAACCTAGTGGCTAGGTAGGTAAGTTGACTGGTCATGGTGGCTAATGCCCTCTCAACATTATCAAACCTTAAATCCACTTTCAACTAAATGTGACCTCAATAATGCACTCCTTATAATCTAGATGATGATTAGAAATAAAGTAGAATTTGTACTTATTTGGTCTTTCCTTCTTTCATTTTATTATGGATGTCTGATTTTGCTTGAATTCAACATGTAGGTCTAACATGTGAAATGTTTACAAGAGATGATGTGGAAATACCTTGCCCTGACAATGCTGCTGGCCTCTATGTAAAATCCCGTACTGGTCAAGTTGTCAAAGTATATTCCTTTTGCTGTTATAGTGTTATGTAGACGTGGAATTTTTTGCCAATTATATATATTACTAGTATTTTTTATGCGCGATGCGCAAAAAATAGGTGCCCAATATTAATACATTATATTAGAATTTTAAATTTATTTAGATTTTAGATATTTAAATTATTCTAAATAATAATAATAATAATAATAATGATAATAATAATAATAATAATAATGTAAATCATTTTTATAAATTTGATATTTATATTTATGAAATAATTAACATATAACTCAAATATTTAATGTCTATATATTATTATTAATGAAGAAGATAAGAAAATATATGGTGGATGCATGTGCATGGTAAAAATAGTGGAAAAGATAACGGAAGTTATAACGGTAGGGGTATGTTTGTCCAAAATATTTTAATGTACAACCTTTATAGCATAATGTACAAAAAAATTTAACGGAAAAAACGGACATAAATTAGGGGTATAACTTTCATTCACACTTATTATGTTTTTAGATTATGAACAGTGGGAAGATTAATCTTGTCTCTCTAACAGACATTTTTTCAAGTTGTTGTACAAAGAGATTGCTGTGATGTTCTATGAGAATCTACTAATCTGTAACTGTTTTTACTTTTATTAGCCGGAATATGGTGAGGATGAAATAGCATATATGGTTGGTGAGACAAGTGAGATACTGTCAAGACATCTGCTCTGTGCGACACCACATTGTGTTCAGGTAATTGCCACAGTTTTTTTTAAGTTTCTTGTGCAGTTTTAGTTCACTCAAGCACCTGAAAACGTTAAAAGGGAATGAAAAGCTACTGCCTCCAAATCTTAAGATAGAGGAACACACTGCTGCCTCAAACTATCAGGATTGGTGAAATTCTCTTTTGCTTATCATGCTTATTGCTGTCACGTTTTTATCGCCCTCAAGAGCCTGCACTTTCCTATAAAACTCGAATAATTACATTTGCATCTCTACATAGTGTATATATAATGGATAGACAATCTATATTCACAGGCACCAAAAGGGGCGGAAGCATCTGCTGTTGGGCGCTCAACATTTGCATTGTTCCTGCAGCCTGACTGGTATGCTATGCTACGCTACTTAGAGGAACATAACATTTATGTGTACACAAGATTGTCAAGGCTGAGATGGTGATATTGGTCCTCCCTTAGCAGTTAGCACCATTGTCTCTTTAAAATCCAATATTAAGTGAAAAGCACATCACACATATTATAGTTTCAGGCTATTTTAAGCATAATATTTATTCTAGTGCACAAGCATTCATGTAGGCTCGCTAATAGCTGATCCCGTATTTTATTTCCTTAATGCCAGGGATGACAAGTTTAATTTCTCAGAGCTGGCGCATATACATGAGGAGGTATGTTTATGTAGTCCTTAATTTTGACAATCATGCTACTTCATCCCCATATGGCAGAACAAAAGTTACAAATAAAAATGGTCAAATAAGCCTTTTAAGTCGAGGGAATAGTGTGATTGAGCCCCTAATTGAAAAAGGTTTTATCCAAACCCATTAAATTGGTAATTTTATTAATTAGTTTAAGGGATCAAAATGGAGTCTTGTTTAATTTCTTTCTCAACAAATGCACTGTGGTTTTGTCAGTTTCAGCATTGTATTGAGGGTGAAATTAGCTTCTTCTTTTTTCTTTTATCAGAGGGTGAAATTAGGTATGTTAGCATTTTGCGGTTATCTTCAACCTGTAAGTGTTGTGATGATATCTCTTTGTTTTATTGCATTTTCAGTTGCGCCACTCCAACCATTCTCAAACTTTCGGAGAGTACAATGAGAGGCTGCTGGACAAGTATTACTAGCCAAAACCGTAAAAACAATAAAATATTTGTATCGAGTATTGTCAAAATGCAAATTAAATTTGCTTCAATCTTGTGTTTGAGGTTTTGGTCCTTTGGAATAAGCTTTCAATGAAGTTTCTCTTGTAATATAAGTGACAAGTTCACGACTATAACAAATTAGTGTAATTTCCCAACGATAAGTACATAGATAAATATAATAATTTTAAATTAATGAAATGAAAGGAAAAATTTTTCTTTTTTTCTTTTTTTAGGTATGGGTTTGACTGAGATAATACTTTTATTTTTCAATTTGGTTCCAATAAGACTCATATTTAACTAGACATTGGTAAATATAATAATTTTAAACTAAATAAATTGAAAGAAAAAATAATATTTTAAAAATTCGTGGGGTTAAATTTGTGTTATTTGATTCAGTGAATGCAATTTATATTTTAATTGGTCATTAATAAATGTAACAAGTCTGTACTAAAAACCTGAAGAAAACAACTTAAATGGCATAATGTTATTATCCCGATTTGGTTACACTTGTCAGGACAATAATTGCTAGATGTAATAGATGATCTTAAATATTTACTACCAAAGTAACAACTGGGTGGACGTGCCGGAGTGGTTATCGGGCATGACTAGAAATCATGTGGGCTCTGCCCGCGCAGGTTCGAATCCTGCCGTCCACGATTTTATTTCGCCTTACTCTTTGTTATGAAATTTTGATTTACCGGCCGTGATGGGCAATTTATTAATTATACCATCCTCCTGTTATGAAATTTTGATTTACAGGCCGTGATTGATGATTGGCAATTTATACCATAGACTGATATCTAAATATTAAAAAATAAATAAATAAATACAAAAGACTTTAGAAATTATTTTTCGAGTTTTCAAATAGACTTTTAATGTAATTATAAATTGTAGTTAATTTCATCACAGGTCTCTTGTCTTTGGTGGCAATTTGTTTAGTCTCAGACTATCATTTTTTCCATTTAACATTCTAAACTATTATTTTTTGGACACTTTTAGTATTTCTCATAATTTTTTTTTATTTTTAGTAAGGGCATTTTTGTCCTTTCACAATTTTCTTTTATTATTTTTCCGGTTTAATTGGTTAGAACATTATATAACCTCTGATTTTTAGTAAACATATTTTTCAATCGATTTTTTGTAAAGTCCTAAACCAATTAAATGGGAAAATAGGAAAAGAAAAATATGTCTGCATGGGTAGCTCAACTGACCATAAAGGTGAAACTTTGGAATAATGACCAGGGATCAGGGATCGAGTCTCACCAGCAGCAGTGTAGGAGCAACCTTTCAAAGTGAGGGGGGGGGGGGGGGGGGGGGGGGATTGAGTCTCACCAGCGGCAGTGTGGGAGTAATCATCACCATTATTTTTAATACGCCCTGTCTCCAAAACACATCCTCCGTCGGGAACATCTCGGGAACAATCTCATGCTGTCTCTCGCAAACTGCTCGATTTCGGTGACCAAATTTATGAACTGGGTTCTCCCCCTCCCCCCCCCCCCACCGCATTTAACTTCACACCACAAACTTGCTGACAGTGCAACAAGCATCCAGGCTCCCCTCCTGCCAGGCTGTCTCTACCACCTCTCTTGCACCCTCATCAATAACCATGCGTTCTCAAATCTGAACTTCCTCGGCCCTCTTACTCTTCGTATGCTGAGAGCATTTACATTTAGAAACAAAGCCGAGTGATCGCATCTCTAGTCTTGAGATTTTCCACTCATGCATTCTCTTCATACATCCACTCCTCCGTTATAAACACCTTATCCAGCCTTTCCTGTATCCAATTCTGTCGTGGCCTTTACTCTTATCCTCATGTGAACTGACGGCCCGGCATCGGCATCTGCATCAATCCGCACTCATCAATGGTATCCCCAGACCCACGCAAGAGGCTATTGTCGATACGGATCTCCCCCCCCCCCTTTTCATGTTGATAGAGAAGATTATTAAAATACCTATCACCACCAGGGCAACCCAGATCTATTCCTCAACATACCCAGCAGCTCCCAGGTTTCCTCCCTCCTGTTTTCGATCCGAACACCCATATAAGCATGTCATACGCCAAAACTTGTCAGTCATACTAACCTCAATATCAATATGGTTCGGCGAGTAACTCAAAAATCTAGCAGTGTTGTTTTTTTTTTTTCCATAGAGGAGCCATCCACCCCTCCCCCCCCCCCTCCCCTCAAACCTTCATTATTCACATTAAAACAATCCATTCATATCCAAGCCTGACACGGACTCTCTCTGCATGACTCCGTCCACCTTGGTTTCCATAAAAAATACGAACTCTGCTTCTTACAAGACACCATGCTCACTACTTCTCGAACTGTGCGTGGATTGCCCAAGCCACGACAGTTCCATCTCAATGTACTCTCATGATGACGGCGGCTGTGACACAGCTCGCCTATGAGCAAGTTTTTTGAACTCATCGGTCATTGTAACATCATCTCCCTCCATCTTCTCCCTCTTCCGTACCATGCCTTCGCCTTTGCCGTAGCCACCACCATCTCATCCTCAGACATACTCGTCTGCATGACACCCCCACCTCCTAGACCCCGCTCTACTGCCTCAGTCACCTTGTTTTTTGCACCAATGGACGTGGTTTCCGCCTACCGGCACGAGCCAGTTATCCCAACCGCTCTAGGAGCGCTCCGGATCCACCAGCCGCATATCGGACGTACAGTACCTTCCACTGGAATTCCCACTTTCCTAGCTTGTAGACAAAACGTGTGCAAGTGACCCATATACCACAAAAGTAGCAAAACTTGTGCAACCGTTCATACCTGAAATTACACCATTGTTGTTGTCCTATCCCACTTCATCAATCTCATCCTCCTCCTAAGCGGCTATCAACGCGAATTGACACCGCGAATATGATGAAAGGTTAGCCATGCGCCCCTTCAAAAACGGTCATCATGCTTAAAAAAGAACCCAAAAAGTTCCCTGCCTGTTCCAGAATTGCTGAGTTGTATACCCCTTCGGCATGTCATCCAACTGTACCCACATGTAATCATGTCTAGCTTCTCATCGAGAGGATTCACCCCGGTCATACCTCCCGACACACAAGTGCGTTGTTCTCAAATGCCCAGGGTCCCTCATTCAACACATAGTCCATATCTTTTTATGGAAAAAAAACAAATAAGAACAATCCCCTTTGAATTTCTTTACCTGCACCCCACGCACTGGTGCTGCCACACGACGCTAACACCTGCTCATAAAATCAATTAATCAATTTCTGTGTCAGAAACCTCCACCCACCACCCTCCACGTCCTCCTCCTCACCCCTCTCCCCCGCCCACCTCCACATCGCCGCAAACCTCCCCCTTCCGGCATAAACACCGCACCCTCCTCCTCCAGCAGCGCCCAATCCGCCCACTGATCCGTCAACCCCACAACATCAGCCACCGGCTCCGCCGGCCGACCAGTCCCATCCCCTCCCCTCCCACGCTGCACCCTACTGCCAGCATTCCTCCCCTCCATACTGCCGACCTCCACCGTCGGGACGTCACTCCTATGTCGCAAACCTCTACTGCCCTCAAACTCTCCCTCCCTTCGCATGAACCCCGGAGCCGTCTCCTCTCCCCTTCTGTTCATCCCATCGACTGAACTTCCCCTACCAGTTTGCCCTACCCCCAGTTTCGCCCCCTCCATCCGGCGTAGCGAACCTCCATCATACACCCCCTCATCCGATCGTACTTCGTGAGCATCCACCTCCTCGCCTCGCCTGGGCAGTCCACCATCCATGCGCACGTCGCCGGCCATCGTCCGGATAGAAAGCACCGTTCGTTGTTGAAAACCTAGGAAAACCCTAGTAGGAACCGTAAAAACCCTAGAGAGAATCTAGAGAGAGATTGTTTTAGTTACTTAATAATACATAATTGTTTAACATTAAATACGATCACTTTAGTAAACATTTATTTAATATAGTACATTATTATAAATTTATATATATATAATACATAAGAGTTAATTTCATTTTTGGTCCTAAATTTATATTGACAATTTCTCTTTAATTTTTTTATTAGAACATTCATATTTAATCTTAGTATTATTGTTACAACTATTTTTATTTCTATCAACAAAATCACCAATTGTAATGTAGTTTAATACAAAAGGCATTTCGATCTTCAAATTATAGATTTAAAAAAAAAATTAAAAATATAGCAGAGTCAACACACTTTGTATAAAAATGATCCAAATATTTTTGTATTTAACGATATTTTAATAATTTTGTTTGAAAAATATTTATGTTACAATAATATTATAACCAAATGTGAATGTTATAGGAGTAAAAAAAGATTAAAAGTGGATTGTAATACATAATGTATTGTTTAATCAAAGCATCTTTCCTTAATTATACATTAGATGAATTTTAGACGACTTTAATCGTCGGAAAATGGAATCTTCTTTTCCATCATCACTCCCGCCTTTTACTCGCAGTCCTCACTCCCACCTTCCACTCATCACCGCGATATTGCCGCGCCGCCGGAAAATTGCTCCTCCGCTTTCGACGATCACGGCGGCGTCATGCTCTTCTCAAGCTCCTCTGCTTTCGGCTCGGACAGTTAGCATATCTTACAGCGAACTCAAGGTCAACTCCCTCTTTCGTTTGGTTACTGCTTCCTATGTTGAGTTTTTGATTCTTAATTTCAATTTTTATATATGAAAGAAATGAATTGTGCTTTTTTAACTCGATCGCCTTAACCTTCCGGCTTTACATCTATGAGAATTTATTTATGTGTTTATAGCTGATAAAATTAAGTGAAACAGGATAAGAATGCCGACTTATCGTCGAAAATTGAAGAAGGCTTTGGAGTGAATGGTCTTGGACTTCTTTCTATATCGGATGTAAGGCTGATCTTTGCATTACTTAAAAATAAATAAAAATTATTATTATAACAAACTAAATAGCTGTGGGATTGAAGTTGCATTTGGTGAATTTTGGCATCTGTTATATGTATGTTCTGTTTTCCATTTGATATGAATGGTGTAGGTTCCTGAGTACTCTTTGTTGCGTAAGAATCTTCTCCATCTTTCGACTAGGTAAGGAGAGTTTTGATGTATTTGATTTGGCCACAAATTATAATGTGTTTAACGATAGGGCTTGAGTCGTCGTTAAAAATATTGCAACCAGATTAGCTAATGTCTCTGAAGACGTGAAAAGGGAGCTGGAAGACCCAGATAGTCGGTAATAGAACTTATCCCCAGATTAATGCTGAGATCACATCTTTTCTAGTCATCATTATGGTGGTCAATGAAAGTAATGCTTTATAAACTATTGCTATGTGTTCAAATAAATCGCCAATTTTCCACTATCCAACATAGTTTACCCCAGATTTGTAATGGCCTTGTTACAATTTCCAGGTACAGCTTTGGATGGAGTTATGGAAAAGAGAAGCAAGATGGAAAGCTAGGTAAAATGGACTAATCAATTACTTTTTTACTTGCAATATTCAAAGTCTGTTGTGTTTGCTTGGTGTAATGTAAATGATCTATGTAGTGTATTTTCTGCTTCCCGTTTCATGTCTCAAGCTTTTATAACCTGTTCACTATTATTTGTTATGCAGATAAACTTAAAGCATCCTTCTTTGCAAATCCAATATTGGATGTACCTTCAACTGAACCATCAAATATACAACGGTGCATTTATGATTTCTGAATCATGGGGTATATTTTTCACAGTTATGTATTTTGTATAACTAAAGACTAGCTTGTTCTCCTTGTAGATATCCTTCATATTGTAGAGCAAACATATGGCCTCGTACAGCTCTGCCAGAACTTGAAATTGGTATATTTCAAACATATGCTAATGGTGATTTAAATAACGGGGTCATTTGGCTCAAACATTTGAATTGTAATTGGACTTGAATCAAACACTTAGTAATCTGAATGGGTTCTTTAGTGAAAATAGTCTCTTTGTTTCATAATAAAAAGGTATTGAGATAAAAATAAATGATTATATAATTTCATATCCAATGCATGGAATGACTTTTTATTTTTCTCTTTCCTATTTTTTTTTTTTTTTATTTGTGTAAAAGTATGTGCGAAGAAGGGTAATGACTTTTGGCATTAATTAAGGATTTAAATCTGATATTAGGGTACCAAAAATAAACAAACAGACGAGGTAATTGGAATAAGTCTGATGGTGTTCTTGTTCCATTTACAAGTAAAGCATAAATTAGTTTTGATACTACATACTAATTTTTGCCTTGTAGTCTATTTTGATGACTTGCAAATTGTAGTCCTCCAAATTAGTGAACTTCTAAAAGAAGCTATTCATTTACAATTTGATCACTAATCTATTTATTAAACAAAGTTGATCCCCCTTTTGTTTTCACTCAAAATCTATTAAATGTAGCTAAATATGTGGAGTATTTTACTTAATTCCATATGTGTCTAACACCACTATAATTTATCCTGTTTTTATATGCTTGGATTGGATTTGGTGAATGCCTGTTTTTAAAATGCAGCCTTCAAAGCACTTGGAAAGCTGATCTTGAATGTTGGGTTGTTGTTGGCTCATCACTGTGATCGATACGGTGAGAGTTCTTGATGCTTGGTTTTTTATTTTTTTAATAAGTTAAACATAGCACTTGATTCTTGAATTATTATCTCTTCTCTTCCTTTTTGGTATTATCCTGTGATTTTAGCCATTTTCCTTGTTAGTATCTATGCCCCTATAGCTATCTTTCGTTAGTATAAAAAAAGTTACAGCTTTAATTCCAATCATGTCAGTGTCAACACAAGCATGTTCCATATATAGCAATCATAGCTGTGCAAATTTATATAAATGTCCATATGTCCTTTCTTATTAATTTTGTACTCTGTATTATCTTCCTGTTATTTTTTTAAATTTGATTTATCCATGTTTAATTTCCATAAAAATAGAAAACTATGTATATTAAAAAAGTTTTAAGTTCCAATTGACCTATTGAAAGTGCAAATTTATGCAGTATCCAGCAGGATCACAACTAATGAGAATAAAGAGATTCTACAGACACTTCTTCCCTCTAGATGTCATAAAGGTCGACTTCTTTACTATTTCCCTACCCAGAATAGGTAATGCTATATTTTTATTCATCATCTCCTGTAACAGGTTAAACAGTGTTACCTTCTGTGTTAGATGTTTCAATCTTTTTCAAGATCATCAGGGTGTTTTTGTTAGTTCTTTGGGACTAGAAATTGTCAAGCCTAGGTAGAAGCCCGAAGGAACAACCTGAAGAATGGGCCAATTTACTATTTGGGATCTCCCATTAGCTCACAATGGTTAATGCAAGTTGATCTGAAGCGTCTAATGAATTCAAATATTTCTATATTCAATAAACTAATCCTCAGTTCCTCACCCAAAGTTTAAGACTCTGGAAAATTGTTTTCAACTAATCCTGTTGGGAATTAGAAAATCGTTGACAAAGAGATCATTTTTTCTTAATATCTGCAAAAATTTGAAAATGTAGTACATAAATGTAGAACCTCTTTGATCAGTTTACTGGTTATAATTTTTCTTGCAGTAGCTCTGCCCTAGATGATGGATCTGTTTCATCCTGGTCTGGGTGGCATACTGATTATGCTTCCTTAACAGGTAATGTCTCACTAAAATCCCTCTTACAATTAAATATAAAAAATAAAACTCACCAGTTATATTTACTCATTGGTGTTACTCTCCTCTCTTAAAAATGAATGTCTATTTTTTGCTTGAATTCTACATATAGGTCTAACATGTGAAATGTTTACAAGAGACGATGTAGAAATTCCTTGCTCTGACAATGCTGCTGGCCTCTATATAATGTCGCGTACTGGTCAAGTTGTCAAAGTATATTTCCTTGCTGTTATATATTATGAACAGTGGGAAGATTAATCTGTTGTCTATTTAACAGAAAAGTTTTCAAGTTGTTGTACTGAGAGATTACTAATCTCTAACTCTTTTGTCTTTTATTAGCCGGAATATGGTGAGGATGAAATAGCATACCTGGTTGGTGAGACGGGTGAAATACTGTCAAGACATCTGCTCTGTGCAACACCACATTGTGTTCGGGTAATTTCCACAGTTCCGTTTTAGTTTACTTAAGCACCTGAAAGCATTAAAAGACAATGAAAAGCTACTGCATCCAAATTTTTAGACAAGGAATACTCTACTGCCTCATCCTTATTGCTGTTGCATTTTTATGGCCAAAAAGAGTTGTTCTTTCCTACAATCCTCGAATAATTATATTTGCATCTCTACATAGTCTGCATATATAATGGATAGACATCTATTGACAGGCACCAAAAGGGGTGGAAGCATCTTCTGTGGGCCGCTCAACATATGTATTGTTCATGCAGCCTAACTGGTATGCTACTTAGAGAAACATAGCATTATGTGTATACAAGATTGTCACGGCTGAGATGGTGATCTTGGTCTCTTCCCTTAGCACCATTATCTCTTTTAAATTTGATATTAAGTGAAAAGTACATTACACACATATTCTAGTTCCCGGTTACACAAGCTTTCGTGTATACCTGATAATAGTTGATCCCAGATATTATTTCCTTAATGTCAGGGATGAAAAGTTTAATTTCTCAGAGCTGGCGCATATTCATGAGGAGGTACGCTTTTTTTTCTTTTTTTTTGACAACCCATCATGCCCACTTGACAGAACAAAAGTTATATAACATTATGGAGTCTTGTTTAATTTCTTTGTGTTTCTTTGTCAACAAATGCACTGTGGTTTTGCCAGTGCCAACATAGTACTGAAGATTAAATTAGCCAATAGTTTTACACTTGGCAGGGGCATTCTGTTGTGATGAGATATCTTTTAGTTCTTTTTTTTTTTTTGAATTTTCAGTTGCGCCACTCCAACCATCCTCTTACTTATGGAGAGTACAGTGAAAGGCTGCATGACAAGCACTACTAGCTCAAAGAGTATAGTTTTACCTCTACTGTGTAGTTTGCGAGCTATTATGCTGGAGTGGAGTTTACATACCTTGACATAGTGGGCGTGGGTTTCCCTTGTTGTCCAAAAAAAAAAATGTATAATTATGTTATATCGAAGCAAGAAAACACTACTTATTCTACACCAAATATATGTATTGATTGCAAACAAATCTTTGCATCAATCTTTTATATGCGTGTGAGGTGTAATTTATTGACATATCAATTATTCTAAGTTGATGTGTAAAATGTACATAATATTAACCACAAAGTTTCATGTTAGTTTGTTGGTGTTAAATAATGTTAATTGTAGGATTTGTAGGATGATTAGCTTTTTCATGTTTAACTTCTAGTAGGAGTTATCTATTCACTTTCTTAGTTTGAATTAGCTATCTATTGACAATTTAGGTTGGTTTATATCTTTATAGTCTTTTTGTCGGCTAGGGTAATGATATGAGCTTTACACTTAATACACTTTTGAGAATTGGTTGTGGCCTTTTTCATAAATCAAAGTAATGTTGAATTGTTATATTTTGCAATAGTAAACGTGTAAATTATTAATTAGTTGTATTGTATGACATTAGAATTATAAATTGTAATTTAGACACAAAATCGATAACTTTTATTTGTAAATTGATGATTTTGTATTTTAGATTATTATTGGAGGCTGGTGTGCACAGTGCACAGTTTATTTAATGAAATTGCAAAATCTCTAACATAATGACTTAGAAGAAATGGTCTAAAAAAAAAAAAAAGAAACAAATGTACAGAGTGGAAAAAAAGAAGAAGAAAGAAAATAGATATACACTTTGAGACATTGTTAATAAAAAAAAAAAGTTTATTTTGAAATGCTACTTAGTATTTTTTTTTTTTTAAAGATCATCTACTTTAGAGTTTTTTGCACTTTTAGTCCCACGACCATAGTGACACCGGCAGAATTGATCCACGACTTTTGAACCTTGCAATTTTAGTCCACGACTATTGATTTTTTTGCAAAAATGGTCCTTCCGGCCACTTTTCCGTCAAAATTTCACCGAAAAAAAAATATTCTTCATTTTTAGCCGGGTTAAAATTGACATTTTACTTATCTCAACAAATTAAAAGAAAAAAATTGATATTTGACTACATACAATATTACTGGGCTACATACTACTGTCCCAGACGGCGGAGTTCCTGGAGCAGGCAGGACTGTCAGTAAGCGGCGGAGCGGCCGTGGCGTTCCCCGGGCTAGTTGGGTTATCCGGCAACAGCTTTGGACTGGTACATGTACTCCGCCGCCGCATTTAACCCAGTTAAAAATAGAGATTTTTTTTTTCCGGTGAAATTTTGACGGAAAAGTGGCCGGAAGGACCATTTTTGCAAAAAGATCAATAGTCGTGGACTAAAATTACAAGGTTCAAAAGTCGTGGATCAATTCTGCCAGTGCCACTATAGTCGTGGGACTAAAAGTGCAAAAAACTCTTTTGTTTTGTTTCTTCCCTTTTAATTTTAACTTTAATTTATTTTTGACACCTTGATTTTTTGGGCAAATTATACCATGGACTAGGGTCTACCTTGCATTGTAGACCCTGGTCTAAAAATAGCATTCAGATTCTGAATTTATAGTTGACACATTCTGTACATGCAGGTTGCAATCAGTGTTGCAAAAACCGCTCCTAGGCGCTAGGCGCCGTTCGGCCGCTTAGTCGGCCCTTTTTTTTTTTTTTTTTTTTTTTTTTTTTTTTTTTTTTTTTTTTTAGGGTTATTCGCCAAAGATAATCTGTGGTAAAGCATCAAATGACCAAAATACCCCATTTACTAGATATGAGTGTTGATTTGCTGAAGTTTGTACTAGTTGCAAAGTGTAAAAATTTTTGCAAGGCATAAATTTTGACTCGGTTATCCGTTTTGGATATTTTTTTTTTTTTTGAAATTGCGTATTTTTTTTGAATTTCTCAAAAAAAAAAAAAAAGCTTCTTTTTGCTCTTAATTTTTTTTTTAATGTATTTAGATGGTTTCAACAATATCTTGAACAATTTTACAACCACTTACGTAAATAGTTTGTAAGAAAAAATAGAGGAACCTTATGTTTTATTAGTGAATTTTTACAATTTTTAATTTAATTTTTTTAAAAAGAAATTTAAAAAAAAAAAATCGGGAGCCTAGGCGTCGAAAAATCGGCGCCTGGGGGCGCCTAACGTATTTTGCAACATTGCTTGCAGTTGATAGTTTGTGTATTTCTAACTATCAGATTATGTGTTAGCAATTATGAAGTCATTTATTTACATGTATAGAAACGGTTAATGATAGGTACAGAATGTATTAACAGAAGTATAAAATTTTTACATCAAGATTCACAATACAATATGAACCCTGGTCCATGTTATAACAATTGGATTCTTTGAATGGTATTTCGAAATTGAGATTGAAGAAAGCTGTATATATTTTCTGGATTCAGCCCAATAGGCCCATTAGTACAGCCCAGTTTCAACTTGTCTTCTTCAACCGGCGAGTCTTCACAGTAGTATAGTAAGATACCCTGAAAGCTTCAGCTGATCACAGATATGGCCTTTACGAGAATGTTGAGATGCCTTTCTCGAAGCTTTACAACCGTTTCTTCCAGCTCACCACGAGTCTGTATCGTCGGTAGTGGACCCGCCGGATTTTACACCGCCGACAAGGTGATTTCCTGATTAGATTCAACAAGTTCCGATATTTTTTTGGGGAATCAAGTTGCTCAGATGATGCTAATTTTGTTAACATTTTTATTCATTGAAATTAGTATTTTAATTTACTGTGGATTTTATTTGCAATATTAGATTCTGAAAGCGCATGAAGGCGCCCAAGTCGATATAATCGACCGCTTACCGACGCCGTTTGGGTTAGTCCGATCTGGTGTTGCTCCAGATCATCCTGAAACCAAGGTCTTCTCTTTACTCTCTTGCTCTTTCTATGTGATCTTTACATATGCGTTTCAAATGATGAGTTTTACTTCTATGCTATTAGTTGTATTAAACGAGCAAGGTCAAATAAAGTATTTAAACTTGTATTAGTTGTATATATACACACACATGTTGAATGAGGTGAGACTAGGCTTTCCATTGAGTAGTCATTGGCAAACTTTGCCCTTTGCCCTTTAAATTAGTGAATGTGTATATGTTCAATTCCATGGCTTTTGTTTCATTTATAAGGAGAGCCTTGAGAAAGAAAGTGGCTTACCTTAAAATGCTTTGCACTCTTCTATTTTTATTGTGGATTGAGGGCTGTTAACTTGAGTGAGTGTGGCTAGATGTACTTTGTACATTTCATTGATTGAATTAAATTTTGACTTTTTTTGAGATAGTTCTCTTAATATGCTTAGTTTACCAGAATATTTGGAACAGACTGTGACAAACCAGTTTTCTCGGATAGTTCAAAATGGCCGCTGCTCGTTCCTTGGGAATGTCTCTCTTGGATCTTCGGTATCTTTGTCTGAGCTACGTGATCTGTATGATGTGGTAATATACTAGTTCTGTTTGAGTGCATCTATCCCTCTTTGCTTTTTCAGCTTCTTGGTGTCTTAATTTACTGTTTCAATGTGCATTAATTTTTTCTGCAGGTAGTGCTTTGCTATGGTGCTGAAAGTGACAGAGCTCTTGGCATTCCTGGAGAAGTACATATCATGAACTTGATGTTCTCCTATCTTTTTCTTCTATGATACGTGTGAAATAAATTGGATGTTATGGATGATATTATTTGATGGGTTGCTTTCTTGCTTCTGCCTTTTGGTGAAGAGAATGATGCTTTCTGTTCTTAGCTTTGTGCGTGCATGTCTTGCAGGATTTGGCAGGGATATATTCTGCTAGAGAGTTTGTCTGGTGGTATAATGGGCACCCAGACTGCAGAAACTTGGCTCCAGACTTGAAGAACACAGATACTGCTGTTGTTGTTGGTCAGGTATCTGCATTTCTTCCACATAAGTGTGTCTCTACATTCAAGGATCAAAAGTAGTCAAGACACACTAATACAGAATGTTTAGGGTTGCCTACTGACTCTTGATTCTTTAACTGAGCCATATCCTTTGGATTCAAACCCTTTACTTCTGAATTAAAACCAGATCTATGTTAATTAATGTTACAGGGTTGATTTTATTAAGATGGTCACCGGAATTTAAAGTGAACAGTCCTTTATGTTGCTTGAATTTGGTCTCACTATGTCTATACTCCTGGATGTTTCTTGAATTAGGAGTTTTTCCAGATTTAATGATGTTAATTAAATGAGCTATAATTTTTCTAATATCTTATAGTATGAAGAAAATTAGTGTATGGTTTAATATTTTTCTGGTTGGAGTTTATGTTGTTTTCACTGTACTGCTTTAACAATTTTCTTGCCATGTCCAGGGAAATGTAGCTCTTGATGTGGCCCGTGTACTTTTACGATCAACCTCTGAGTTGGCAAAAACTGATATTTCTTCCCATGCTTTGGCTGCTCTAGAAGAAAGCTCTATAAGGTATTTTTCTCTAAGGTTTTCTATGATCTGGAAATCACTTGCCCTTTTGTGAATTAATTGATGACCATGATTGAAATTTCCTGCAGAAAAGTTTATGTGGTTGGCAGACGTGGACCAGTGCAGGCATCTTTCACTGCAAAGGAGCTACGTGAAATTCTTGGTTAGTATTTGAACACCATCATTCTAGGTTCTGTTCGTTTCATATGTTGGACATATACCCAACTAGATAGATTTGGATTTAAGCTTTTAGCGGCTGGGTTGAGTAGGATATACTAGCATCTTGTCTTGTCCTTTAAAGATGCAGATTTGGTTACCTACATGTTTATTGATGTTTTCATCATAAAAGTTAAAATATGATTTGAAGGAGAAAGGAATTGTGAATGTTCTTCTTTTTCCGTATGATGAAACTATAATTCCTATCAGGTATCAAGAATTTGTACATTCACATTGAGGAAGCAGATCTGCATAAAACACCCGCTGATGAGGTATATTTCTTTCTACATCATTCTACATGCTCTGTATTACTAAAAACCTGATTCCTTGAACAACAGTTGGACTAGCATTACAAAATTTGCAATTCTTACAACATGCAGGACGTACTAAAGAATAATCGGATCAATAGGAGAATTCACGAGTTGCTCTCTAAGGCAGCTACTTCTGCAGCTCCATTTCCTACTCTTGGCCAACGTGAACTACACTTTGTTTTCTTTCGAAAACCAGAAAGGTTTTTAGAATCAGATGCTAGACGCAGTCATGTAGCTGGTGTGAACTTTGAGCGCACAATTATTAGAGGTAGACTTGTATAATACTCCGTAATTGCCTTTTCAGTTTACTTCCTTTGTATTGTTCTTCTGAACCATTCTTTTATTTCTTTGTAAGCATTGCAGCCTAAAACAACTGAAGTTAGTTGTATTTAACAGTAGATGTCGTGAAGACAAGATATGAATAAGTTGTTTGGTTTTAAATTACAATTATGAGGATTTGATGGAATAATATAGCTTGCTTTGGCCATTTTTCAGAAGATGGGTCTGGGAAACAGGTTGCAGTTGGTACAGGACAGTTTGATGACTTGGAATGCGGGTACAATGTTGTTTTGGCTTTATTTATAAATTTGCATATCTTATGATTATAAATTGACTCCAACGTGCATTGAGATGCAAGAGCTAAAATGAATGAAAAGGGGAAGTTGGGAATTAGAAAAATGTGACCTTGGGAAATTTATTCTACCATATGTCCATATTTGCACTAGTGCCATTATAGTACTTAATGCTTGATGCTTCTGAAATTAGCATACCATGCTCTCACTGTTTGCCAGGCTGGTTTTGAAGAGTATCGGTTATAAATCAGTATGTGTTGAGGGCTTACCTTTTGATCCCCGGAATGGTATGCGAAAGAAATGCAGCTCTGCAGAAAATTTATTCTACCATATGTATTTTCCTAATTGTTTTCAAAATTCTGGGCGAATACTATGGTTTCTATGCTTATGAAAATTTAATATACTCATATGATTCTTAGTCTTGGTTTCCTTCCGGCTTCCCCAGGCATAGTTCCAAACATTAGAGGTCGTGTCCTAAGTGATTCTACAGGAGACCTCACAGAGGTCGAGAAGGGTTTATACGTATGTGGTTGGTTGAAAAGAGGACCAACTGGAATCATCGCTACCAATCTTTACTGTGCTGAAGAAACTGTAAGTCAGAATACATTTATTTGCTCTAGTGGGAGGTGATTACACGTTTGTAACTGATTGAAAATGTCTGCCGTACACTTGATTCATGGCAGGTTGCCAGCATTTCTGAAGATATCAAGAAAGGAATTCTACCATCCACATCTGACCCATCAAAGCCGGGGAGGGAGGGCCTCCTTCAACTACTGGACAGTAAGAACTCCACAGTCATCCCATTCGAGGGCTGGCAGAAGATCGATGCTGAAGAGAAAAGGCGAGGGTGTTTGAAAAACAAACCCAGAGAAAAACTCACCAGTTGGCAGGAACTACTTGAAGTTGCCAGGAAATGAGGATTCTCACAAATCAGAACATAATTCGGTTTTGACAGCAATGCCCCCCGCCCGATTCAATCCTTTTCTGATTACGAATGACATTTCACTTCTGGGTTAGTATACATGACTTGAGCTGTATTGCATTCTTGGAGTTTATACATTAGGCTAGAAATAATTATTTCTTGAATAATTGAAGCTCTTGTATGGTGCTAATGTTGTTATAGTCCCAGATGCTCTTGAGAAACAAAATTCTTCTTATAATTTAATCATTTTTAGAACAAATATGGTGGTGATTTATGTATTTTCGAAATCAAATACAAGAAAGAGGTATTGAGGTTGAGAGTTTCAATTGAAGGATGTATTTCAGATGTCAGTTTTTCATTTGCTCTGACATTAAATGAAAGGATATATGTCATTTTATTGTGAAAGTGCATATTTATATTTTATATATTATATGCTTAACATGTTGGAAGTGGTTAATTTATTTTCATAATACAAGATAGATTTAGTAAAAATAAATATAAATTGTTGTGTTTGTCCAATAAATGGTCTTTTCGTTCTGTTTTCCAAGTGGATCCATTATGCAGAGTTGATTGAGAGATTGGAGAATATCATCATGGTGAAATTGACCCTAAATGTCACCTCCTCTAGTTTTTGTTCCATGTCAACATTCCACTCGGCTACTATATGTAGTGTCCTTGCAAAATTCTTCTTAAATCTGCAGCCTTCCATTTTATCCAAACACCAACCCCCACCTATTTCCCAGAGAGAGAGAGAGAAAGAGAGAGAAGAAGAAGAAGGGTTCAGGTGCAGGTATAGCTTCCCGTGCGGTTAACTCATAAAGACTCACCTTAAGCATTAAAATGGCGCACCCTAAGTACTCAAACTATGCACCTTAAGCATACAAACAAAGCACATTAGAACACAAATAATGCACCTAAAGTTTTAAAATGACGCACATTAAGTACAAAAACTATGTACCTTAAGCACACAAACAAAGCACCTTAAGAACATAAACCACACACTTAAAGTTTTAAAATGATGCACCTTAAGTTTCAACAACTGACGCACCTTAAGCATACAAATCACGCACCTTAAGAAGAAAAACAACGCACCTTAAGAAATAAAACCACGCATCTAAAGCTTTAGGCCAACGCACTTTAAGTTTCAACAACTGATTCACCTTAGCACACAAATCACGCACCTTAAGAAAGAAAACCATGCACCTTAAATTTGACCTAGATACAAAAAGACCAAATTGCCACCGTATTTTTTTTAATCATTGTTAATCCTGAATGTTGATTTAGGCAATATGAATGGCTCAGATTTAACCGCACGGAAGATACTCAACCGCAGGAGAATTGAGTTCTATATATATATGCCTGAGATATTTACTTAAATGGACCTTAATATAGACTCAAGTTTGACCTTTTTATTAAAAAGGTCAAATCGAGCTAAATCAAAACTAGACCGAGTCGTAGATCCCTATTTGGGGTCCGGTTTATTCCCAACCCTAATTCTATTATATTCCATTTTAACCCTATTCCTAAAGTCTTGTGTGGTGGGCAAATGGGGCCTAAAATAGAATGTAGTAATCAAGACTACTTGTTTGTTCCATTGTGGAAACTATGTTCTCTCATTTCCTAGGATTTTCACACATTAATTCCCACACGTACAGTGTTACTTAATCTGATCTCTTACAGTACCCAACAATCCCTAGTTTTTCTTTGACATTATTTTCCAAGTGCTGCTGCCCCATATATATATCTCTTCCAAATGCAATGAATTATATATATCATTTCACAGATAGAGGTGATATGATATGATGTTAGTTCATGCATTCAAACTGGTGTTGAAAGCAACTGGGAAAGCTTATTATATTCCTAATCAAATATATAATTGTGTAAGTAATTAATAAATTAACTACTCAATATTATTTGAAAAAGGATGCAACAAAACTTGATGATGATGTGATTGACTCCAAGAACTTTTTTTTTTTTTTCTAATTTGATTTATTCATAGCCTCATCATGAACTTAATTGAATATGCAAAACTTGAGACGTGTCATGTTAAGGATCATTCAGTTCATGCAACAAGTGAGGATCAGGATTGCAAATTTTAGTTACTCGTAAGGGTGGAGGCAGAAAAATTGTGTTGGGGGCCAGAATTATAAAGAAAATTTACAATATTAATCGATATGTGTATTGATAATATCTCATATCATTATCATTATATATATAATACATGATTGTATCGAGTATTATTGATAATGGTTTTTAATGGTACTCTGTGTAATAATGGGTGAAATATATAATTATTAGAGTATGATTGACATGAGTGTAGATCATTACTTCAAATTTTTTCACATAACACAAAATATATACAATAATTAAAAAAAATATTTACATTTATTTAAATCTGGATTATCGCTCTTTAATCAAATAAAAGTCATCAATTCAATTATTTTGTCAATAATTTTTTTGATAATTAGCTTATATTTATTTTACTGATTAACTAAATATTCAAACATTTGAGGGAGAAAAACGAAAACTAGGATAACAAAAAGAATCAAATATTAATTTTTTGTCCGTTTCAAAATTAATTCTTTAAACTTGCAAATGTACCTCCTAAAATATTATACCTCAAATTTAGAAATCACTAATAAATTAATTAATTAACTAATAAAGTTAAAGCATATACTTCAAATTTATAGAATTTTTTAATATAAATTGGATACTTGATACCCTCTGTTATTAAAATATGAGTAAATACCCAAAATGGTCCCTCGACTATAGCTAAATTCACAAATTGGTCTTCAACTTTCAATTTTAACCAATTAAGTCCTTAACTTTGTAATTTTGACACGATTTGGTCCTCCATCTATTTGACCGTTTGTTGACCGTGATCGACGATCTCCAGAAGAACCTTCAGTTCTCGTCGGAGCACGTGGAGGCCTCCAGGATGACGTTGCACCAGTTCGGAAACACGTCGTCTTCTTCGCTCTAGTACGAACTCAACTACATTGAATCCAAAGGGAGGATGAAGAAAGGCGACCGGATTTGGTAGATTGCTTTCGGCAGTGGATTCGAATGTAACAATGCGGTCTGAAAATGCAACCGGAACCTTAAAAAATCGACGATGGACTATGAAATTACATATATATCCTCAAAAATCACAATCAACCAACGGTCAAATAGACAGAGGACCAAATTGTGTTAAAATTACAAAGTTAAGGACTTAATTAGTTGAAATTGAAAGTTGAGGACTAATTTATGAATTTAGCTATAGTCGAGGGACCATTTTGAGTATTTACTCTTAAAATATTGACGAAGGAAATAAACTAATAAAGAAAAATGGTGAATTTGAATATTTAGTATTATTTTAATGAATGAATTTAAACTTATATGTATATAGGTCATTTAATATATACATAATAGATATTAAAAAAAAAAAGTTTAGGAAGTGGGCCAAAAGAGTATTTTTAATCCTATTATAATAAAGCTAGTACTTATATGTTTTAATTTATCGGCAAAAGTAAGTGCACAACATTGATGTTTAATGTCAAAATTATAATTAAATTAAAGTAATTAAAAAACATAAATAATTATAAAAAGTTATTATCTATATTGTAATAGAGTCAGTAGCATTTAAAAAAATTTATTATTTTGTATGTTTATATTATGATGGTTTTACTACTACTACTACTACTACTATTATTATTATTATTATTATTATTATTATTATTATTATTATTATTATTATTATTATTATTATTATTATTATACATTTTATTTGGTAAAGACTTTGTGGTCAAGTGACATATTTGTTACTTTCTCAAATGAAATGTCACAAGTTTAAACCCTAGAAATAATATTCAAAAAATATACATTTTATCAATATATATTTTTAGTAAAGACATGTTTACAATATTAATCGATATGTGTGGGTGGTGGTCCAAAAAATATTTTTCAGAAGTCATTTTCCTACTTTTCAAATGGAACGACCTAAGTTGGGTTAGATGCAGATTTTATATACAAAACCTGCATAGAGGGCAACTTGACCCACCACGTGCGTGTATAATTTTTTTAAAGATTAAGTGTGTATAATTAATTAATACTCCCGTGGTAAAATAATTACTAGTATGTAGTTAATTCTAAAAGTGTTTATAATTGTCGTTTACATTTTACTATCTTTAGTTCTAAACTAATAAATTTGTTTGAAAAAATAAAAAGTTTAGTTATTATATTTGAATATTTTATATTTTAGTATAACTAGTGAATTTTATTATTTTATTATGTGTAAATAATTTAAATATTATTATTAATTTTTTGAAACTTTTTAATAAGATAATAATTAATAAATAGTGGGTACCCGCATCCAGTGGGATGGAGTGAGTTTTGAAAAAGTTCACCCACTTCGGTTCAGGGTCGAGAGTGGGAATAAGTAGATAAAAGTATAAAGTAGGTCGAGTGATGGATGTAGCTATCGCTGACCCACCCGACATATTTTCATCCCTACTAAACCATTAAATAAAGACCTTAATTGCTTTAATTCTAGTCCTTTATACTCATATTTATTTCCAGATAATTCGTAATGTATAAGTCCAAATGATTAATGCTATTAGTAATGACTAATGATGCCAAACTTATTTAACTCGAAATAACAAAAAAGATACAACTTTAATCAATACTAAATATAAACTCAATCATTAATCTTCACAATTCCTTTCATTCTTATTGACACACACAAACACGTACAACATATATATATAGTTGCTGAACAAATGAACTCTTGATTTATTAGTAGAATGTATAGGTTCAGCCCCCCTTAAAATATTCCAAATATGTCATGTTTTTCTCTCATCAATGTTTCCATGACAAGAAACAAGTGGGAATTCAATAATATATATGTTTTTTTTTCCTTCCAAATTCTTCTGAGGACTATACTCCATACATTCTTGTTTCTGGCACATTACATGATAGATGGATAGATGTAAAACCTCCAATCCTTGTTTTCATTAGGGTTTCAGATACTTATGTGCCGACCTATTTCGATGAAGCCTGCATTGTGAACCTAGTCACCAAAGTAAAGGATTACGATTTACAAGAAAGTAAACTCAGACTAGGTCATTAATAATATTTGATACAATCATGTATTATATATGATAATATATACTGAATACAATTGAAACTGCTATTGATGGGTGCTGGTAAATAGTTGTTAGCTGATTGGGTTAGTGTGTTTGACTAGTTGATAGCATTAGCTTATTGAAGAAAAGTGTT